ATAAACTATGAATGATAAACAAAAGATAAGCAATGAGGGAAGTTTACAGAGTAGCAAAATATAAACATCAAAAATGATACTCTGTTAATAAAATAATAAAATACTTTTCTTCAATATTGTCTCTCCAAGAGGTGGTCTCTCATTGGAGTTTGGATCAGTTTAAGATATTTTTGATTTTGGTCAAGGAGGAGTTCAAATGGGTCGCTTGTGGGAGGTCTTAGTTCAGTCGATATCTTAGTTAAGTTTTTATAGCAACAAAACATTTTCAATGAATTACCATAAATTAATATTGAAGACAGATTTCTATATTTACTTAACGTAGATAGAATATTACAGAATAGAATATTAGTATAGAATATACTCATCAGTGGTAGACCATCCTATGGTTTCATCAGTTTACCAGACATCTACAATTATTATATTGTTCATCTAGATAATATAGGCTGTATTTGAAGGTTTATTCTTAGTGTTTAGTAAAATAGTTGGTTTTGATGATTGTAAACATTTTTGAAATTTTAAACTACGAACACACTACATCAATGCTGAAGACAATTCTTGGTGGGGAATATTTGTACCATTATCATAATTTTTTAACACATATGAGTAAAACAGGGAAGTCTCTGTAGATCTGATTGTCATGAATGATGTTCCTTCAACTTTCTCTGTCCCACGTGATCTGGGTGATAACTGTAGACGATGAAGTGTTGAGATGTAAGATCTAATGGATATATTGGACTGTTGGCCAGTATTTTTTACTGTTGGTTTTTTTCCTTTCACTTCTGGTGAGCTATAAGTAGGGTGTAGGAGTGCCTCAGGAGAGTTATTCCGGTTGTGGCTTGTAGTTATCGTCATTCAGATTCAGCTAGGACGGTTTCGTTTGTAATGTGATCATTCCAAGTATAACTAAGTTCTGTTTTTAGAGTTGGCTGTGTGAAAATAATAATTAATAAACTTCAACCTCAATCGATACCTTTATTAAGTCTTTTAGCACTATACAGATTCTTTTGAAGGATACAGAAAAGTAGTGGAATTCTATATACAGTTACGAGCGTCATCAATTCTTCATCTCTTAATCAGTTTTCGTCTCTGTCACCGTTTGCTTTTTTTTTGGAATGGCGTTCTCCTATTGGTTGGCTACGATCACGCCACCTTTGCCCCCCCCCCCCCACTCGCTTTGTTGTTTTTGTAACTATTGTGTTGGAGCGGGTAGCTCCTTAAATAATCTATTGTTAACAATACCTCATTATTGGTCCGCAAATATCGAAAGTATAGGTATGTAGCTTTTGTACTATTAAGGTGTATATATATACACATACTTTATGTATACATACATTATGCTGATGCAAACAAATAGATAATGCTAATAACAAACAATTATTTTTAAATATCTTATCTAAATATATATCACTCGGGTAGATATGCACACGGGTCAATCCCGGGGCGAAGCCCGGGTCACCCGTCTAGTATAATACAGAATGGTCGGTCTGTCCTTTGGGAGGTTTTACTACCGATGATACATACACCCTATTACTATATATTGTTATTCGCTGCAGTAAAAAAAGAAGAATGAGAGGAAGACCTGCAATGAGCTGACTAGAATGGGTCAAGAAAACTACGGAAGGTAACTAGATGAGCTGCGAGTAGTGATCACAAACATATCAAATTTGATAATATTTGTCGATAGAGGTATCAAAATTCAAATTCTACGAAAGAGTCTAACAAAAACATTTGTTTATCTATATTGATTATATCTGTATTTGTGAAAAAAATGGAAATGGAGAAAAATGGAGAAAAATTATCGATCCCAGTATCTCTCGCATGCTAAGCGAGCGCTCTACCATCTGAGCTACATCCCCTTGCAAAATTGGTTTCACTTTATTCTTTAGAAATTGATTAAAAGGGATAAGTCAACAATAAACATTTCTTAATTGTTAACAAAAAGGTATTAGATCTTTTATAAATTCTCTCATCTTTAAACCATTTTAGAAGCGGAAACCCCATAACTTTTCTGCCATCGCTTCTTGATAACTGAAATGCAAGATTGAAACAGATGCAGCTCTGATTAGAAACTGATTAATTATGAAGTTTATAATCTTGATATATTTAACATGTTGAATTTATTTATAATATAATATCATGTTGAAAATGATCAAATTTTACATATTATTTCTTTTTTTTTTTTATAATTGAAATTATTATCTATAATCATTAAACACATAAAATTTTGCGAAGGTTTTGGTGAAGATTGAATGAACTCTAATAAAAAGTCTAATGAAAATAAATTCTAAAAGATTTAAGAAGAAAGTCAAATTATATGAAGTTTATAATATTGATATTTTTAGCATGTTAAAAAATATCAAATTTTACATAATATTTATTTCTATTTCTCTATTTCTCATAGTTGAAACTCCCTTATCTATAACCACTAAATATAAATCTCGAAAAAAATTTTGAAAGGCTTTATAGCGAAGATTAAATAAACTCTAATAAAGCTTCTAATGAAAACTAATGCTAAGAAGAATTGGGAAAAAAGTCAAATTAGTAAATAAATAGAAAAGAGAGCAGAAACAACTTACCAAGAGCCTGCTATAAGAAAAGAACAGATTTTACAAGATGTTTTACAAGGTATGGTACCTAGAAGATAAGGAAGAATTCAAATTATTGACAAGATCACCATAGGTCGGCCATATTGGCAAATATAACAACTGCTCAGGTGTCACTCAAACAGAATGGAGAAATTTACTGTACACAGGACCTCAGCTGAACGCCTATGAAGAAAGAAGATAAGAAATTATTCTTCAACAACGGTAAATATTTCCAATAGTCCTTAATGTTAAGGTGAAAGAATCGGGCTTCCAAAGATGAATTTCTTTTAACATTTTAATTCTAGTTCCTCTTGCTTTCTTGCCCGAAATACCCTTGTTAGACACATTAGAAATTCTTTTGAATATTTTTTATTTTGAAGATATTTGATATATTAAAATAATTAATTAATTAATTAATTAATTATAAAAAAATTTAAGAAAAATTATATATATATAGCGGACCCGCCCGGCTTCGCCCGGGTTTTACCTGAGTAAAGGTTTGTCTAACGAATCTCTCGATAAAGTTAACATTTTTTCCCGGTCCCTTGAAAAATACTCGATAAGTTGAATAAAATCAATATTAATTGGTTCCCTCGGTAATTGGAAGTTAAAGGAATAGTATCTTGCCTTTGAATTGTATCATTATTCTTGTCTCAAATAAATTGCCGTGTCATCCTGAATTTTGTCTTTCCTAATTTTCTACATTACAAAATCATCGTATCATCATGATAATATTTAGAGCAGATTGTTGAATTATAACAGATAAATTAGAATATTTATCTTGATTATATCTAGGCGAAAAGTTATTTCAAAAATTTTATTTGCTAGAAACCTTCCCAGTACTATACTAAATAACTTCCCAAAGTTTCATGGCGATCCAATGAGTGGTTTGGTCAAGCATAAAGGACAAACAAACAGACATACATTCATTTTTATATATATAGATATATAATTTTATTTATTTATCCTGTGTACATATTTCAAGCTACTACTTATAATTGCTATATGTAAAATTTGATATCGAACGTTTAATTTTAATGATTTCCAATGTTCAATTGTATTAATTGTATATAATTTAAAATATACACGCAATTATCCAAATTGTGGATATGGCGTGTCTCTCCCAACTGTTAAATAAAAAAATAAAAATAAGACAAAAGATTTTTGTTGAAACGTTGAGAAAATAAAACGTTAACCGGCCGAAATGTTTATTTTTAAAAGAAAAAATATTCTATTAAAAATGCACTAAAAAGTGACGATAAATATTTCAGCTATTACCATTAAACAATTAGATTTAAATAAATAAAATTATATAAAAAGAGAGGCAAGGATGGGCATCGTGTATTTCGATATTCTTATCTCCACTCAGCAATCATATCAGGGTATTGATGACTCTGAGAGCTTGTGATGGTGTCTGCTGGGGATGAGTAGAGCTCATCAATGGAAGAGACAATACAGTCAATGATGTTGTTTGGGGTTGCAGGTTGAAAACTGCGCTACATAGAGGGAAAACTTTACAGACATTCTGGAAGATCACTGTTCATAGATGATCAGGCTTGTCTAGAAATCAAGGGCTGCTGTTCCTTTGGGAGGACAGAATTGATGCTAGCATCCTATGCTCTGTACCAGTTATGTTTTGCAGTAAATTTCTGTTCTTGTTGGTATTGGGCCTTGGTGGTGTGGAGGAGGTCTCGTTAGCTAATAGAGTGGTAGATTCTTTGGTCTTAGGGTGGCCAAGAGCTCCAGATTTTGACAGAGAATCTGCAAGTCCTTTTCTAGGGTTTACATGAACTTGAAGCCATTGTACTGTGACAGAGCTATTGGTTGGGAGTCAGTTTATAGATTTGGCAATGCTCTTGAGAGGTTGTTGGCTGGAAAAACAGGTTTCAAGGGTGTAAATGGCTGCTCTTGAGTCGGAGTAGATGATTATTTTACCTTTTTTTTTATCGGGCATTATTTAACTTTGTCTTTATTTGGTTTTTGATTTTCCTCTTAGTACGTTTCTTTTAATAAGGCTATTTTCTGTTTGATAAATATACTTCTTTTTATTATTTTTATCATACATTATTCATTTAAAATTCCAATTTCTTGTCTATCTTTTTTGGCAATTTTTCCTAAAATACCTTTGGATTAAAAAAATAGATAATTACTTTTCTCCTCTATATTTTAAGAATTTTTCATGTTATTTAATCAAGATAATTCATTTTTAATAGAGTTTTCTGAATATCTTTTACTTTAACATACTTCCTGACGGCATAGATGTGTGAAATTTTGCACATTGCATTGCCATCAGGAATAAGCGAGTCTTCAAATTCTTAGGCTTCTATGTGGTCAGGAAGTATATTAAAAGTACAGCTTCCTGTTAACGGAGTATTGAACAACAACAAAAAAAAAAAAAAGAGAAAAAAAAAAAGATGGAGATGCTGGATATCGATCCCAGTACCTCTCGCATGCTAAGCGAGCGCTCTACCATCTGAGCTACATCCCCTTATATTAATAGGATCTCTGTAAATATTTACAATTAAAAAAAAAACTTTGAATGCTTGGGTTTAGAACGATGCCCAGTGCTAAGTTTATTGAAGTTTTCTTTGATAATAATTTTATTAATATTATATTTGTATATCTCTCAATAGCATAATATCATCATTATTAATAATAAAACTTTTATTTTGTTTTTATTATATTGTAGTGATGAAATAATAACCAGTCGTATGGCAATTAAGAACAATTTAATAAGCGAGAAAAATATATATAAAGTTTATACAGGTTGTTTATATGAGAGCAAATAAAAGAAGTACTAGCGCGAGCGAGGGAAAAGAATCACTGGCGCTGCGCGGGCGTTCGCGCGAGGGTTCGCCTGGAACAACCCGACGCTGGCACGAGCTTACTGTTCCATGAAGTCGGCCCATGCTACACTACTCCCTCTCCCATGAGAAGCTGTTCTACAGCTTTATCTCAGTTCCCCTCTTCTCCAGACGTAGAGTTATCTACACTCGACGAATCTCCCTGTCCTGAGGATATGGACGGTGTCGCGCTTCTTTTGTCTTCTACCTTGTTCACTGACTGCTTCGACCTCGTAGGTCACGTCCGATATTTTCTTTGTAACTCTGAAGGGACCGAAGTATCGTCTTAGGAGTTTTTCAGGAAATCCAACACGTCGAATAGGAATGAAGATCCAGACCAGGTCTCCTGGTTCGTAGATCTTTCCTGTATGTCGAGCGTCGTAGTTAATTTTGTTCGTCTCTTGAGCCTTGAAGATGTGATGACGGGCTATTTGTCTTGCCTCTTCGGCTCTGGTTCCCAAATTCTGAATGAATTCCTCTCCCTCGGACGAGATACTGTAGAGGAAGATAGTGTCGAGGGTCGTCACGGCCTCCCTTCCATTGATCAGGAAGAATGGCGTGAAGCCAGTCGATTCTTGTTTGGCCGTATTATAGGCAAAAGTGACAAAGGGCAACATCTCGTCCCAGTTCTTCTGGTCAAGGTCCATATACATTGATAGCATGTCGGAAATTGTTCTATTTAATCGTTCTGTTAAGCCGTTGGTTTGGGGATGGTACGCCGTTGTTGTCTTCTTTTTGATGCCACATTTATTAGTCAGCTCCTGAAGGAGTTTTGATTGGAAATTTCGACCTCGATCCATTACTATTTCTCGAGGGGCTCCATGTTTCAGTATGACTTCTTCTAAAAGAAATTTCGCGATTTCCTGGGCTTCACCTGATCCTAGGCTTTGAGTTACGGCGTATTTAGTGAGGTAGTCGGTACAAACGACTATCCATTTTTTCTTTCCTTGAGATATGGGGAAGCGTTCCAATAAATCTATTCCGACCTTTTGAAAGGGGCTGTCCGGAGGCGGAATGGGCTTCAGATAGCCAGGGGGCAATTGAGGTACACCCTTACGACGCTGGCAGTCCTGACAATGGCCCACGTACCTCTTCACGCTTCTGTACAGCCCTGGCCAGTAGAACCTTCTCTTGACTCTGTCGTAGGGTTTAGCGAAACCCAGATGTCCAGCGGTAGGTGCGTCATGCAGGTCGCTCAGGATTTCCATTCGAAGGTACCTTGGGACCACCAATAGTAAAGGTTGTCCAGTTGGGTCATAATTTTTTCTATAGAGAATCCCTTTGACAATTTTGAACTTGTCGTCTTGCTTGGTAAGTGAAGGCTGAGATATATTTCTGATTATTTCCGCAATGTACGGGTCATTTTCTTGTTCTCTACCGATGTCACTTAGAAGGAATAATGTGGGAATATCATCAATAAAATTCTCCTCGGTATGTTTTAGGGGATTTCTCGATAGGCAGTCAGCGTCTTGGTGCATTCTCCCAGTCTTGTAGACAATAGAGACGTCATACTCCTGTAGCCTCAGCGCCCACCTCGCCAATCTTCCTGCAGGATCTTTCAAGTTGGTCAACCAACATAAGGAATGGTGATCGGTTACAACTCTAAAGTGACGTCCGAACAAATAAGGCCTAAATTTTCCAATCGCCCATATTATGGCCAGGCATTCTCTCTGTTAAAAATAGATAATTTATAATTGTATGCTTTATAGATTTTCCTCTATTATTATTATGTATATATATTTTTATTTTATTTTTGTTGCCTCTTTCTCTTAATGGGTGGAAAGGAATAAAGAATGGAAAGAGCAAGATTTGTAAACAAACAAGACATCGCCCCCCCATCCCATGCGCGAGCACTTATGCGCGGTGACGGGGAGAAAAAAGAAGAAAAGGACAACCGGCAGCGCTGGTGTATAGGCTCGGGGAAATATGAGCTCCCGGGAAATATGAGCTCCCGCCAAATATGAGCTCCCGCCTCAGAAGGAATGAGTAACCACGTGTGAATGAAACAAAGAAGATAACGAGAAGAGAGTCGTTATAGAATTGCGCACCAATTAAGTGGGTTGCGATATAGTTTCCTGTTAAGGAACAGAAGAATTAATCTGGAAAATTATCTCAAGTGTGAAGAATTATTTCAAGTGAATTCACGATCAAATTTATCGACAGAATTGAAAACAAGATTTGTTTTTTATAAAACGGAAGCTTAGATAAGTATTTGCAAACTTTGTTTGAAAAAGATTTTGCCTTTCCACCCCTAGTTATTTTGCTCTCTACATTATTTGTTTGTATGTATATTTAACTTGTATCACTTGTTTTGTTTATTCTAATTTTAAATATATCTAACCTTTTGGCCAATTTGATTATCACCCTTTTTATCTGTTTATTTATTTTTATTGCCCAGTCATTTTTGATAAGCAAAATAAAATATATATTTAGGCCATTTTTGTTAAATTTTATTTCTACAACTTGTGCAAACACAACTGGTGAATCTCTATTTTCAATCTGGGTAAGATTGACCTTCCCCACATTTATTTTTTTTTTTCAAATTCAACATTTTTGGTGAGCCGGACGTGATTTCACCTTGTGGTGTTTATACAATTTGTGGAGATGGATAAGCTTAAAAGAGAAAGAACTCCCTTAAGGAATACTATAACTCGTACCACAAATGAAATAAAATCAGGTCTAAGTCTAGAGGAAGTGGATATAATTTTAATAAGGGCCAAATTTGAAAGGTTAACCGTTCTTAATGATAGACTGATATTGATTGATGATAAAATAAAAGAGATCTTATTGGAT